AAAAACAAAAAAACAAACAAACATACCGCATACTTACCCTCTTTAAGCCTTGAGCATTTATTTTTCCTGATTTCTACAGAGGTTTTGTTTTCTCGCAGTGTGCTCTGCAGACACTGGCCTGGCTTTATTTTGTATTTCCCCCCTCCCTTACACTTGGTATTTATTCTGGATATTTATAACCATTTAGATCAAGAATATCACCCCAAAGCCTCATGTGACCATGTGGGGCTTTTGGAAGGTGATTGGATCACAGTTACTCTACTGAGCAGTGGATTATTCCACACAAGTTCATAGCTGAATGTGCTGTTAGGAGCTGGGATCTGGCTGGAATGGGGGGGGCGGGACACTGTGGGGATGACCTGGAAGGGTGTGTCTCCCTCCCCGAATCTTCCCTTCCCTGTCTGCTTCCTGGCTGCCATGACTTGAGCAACTCTCCTGCTGTTCCCATCCAACATGGTGTTTCTGCCTTGGAGCTAGCAGACTGTGGACTTTTACATCTTACAACCAAGAGCCAAAGTAAACCTCTCTTTAAGTTGGGCATGTCGAGTGTTTTGTCCCATCTAATCAGGATTGTTTCTTAAAGCCATGGATATAGAGAGGCATATACATACCTCTCTTTTCTTTTTAACAGAGGGATAATTGTAATAGTCTGTTGTGTCCTCCATTGATGGACGTTGTTCTTTCAATATTACAAACAATGGGGCAGTTAGTAGGTTTTCTAACCTTGGCATCTGGGGCAAGATTTTTTTTTTATTTTTTGGTGGTACTGGGGATTGAATCTAGGCCCTTTGCACTGAACCGCTCCAGCCATTTTATTTATTTTTAAATTTGAGACAGCATCTTACTAAGTGACTGTGTTGCCCAGACTGGGCTCAAACGTGTGGTCCTCCTGCCCTACCTCCCAGAGTGCTGGAATTAGCAGCATGGGCTACCACAACCAGACAGATGAGTCTTTGTTGTGGAGCTGCCTTACTAGTTGTTTAGCATTGTCTCAGCCCTCTAGGTACTGGATACTGATAGCATTGCCATTCCTAGTTGTGACAACTAAAAATATCTGCAGGCATTGCCCATGGGGGTCAGAAATGACCCCAGGTCGAAAGCACTACTTCAGTGTATCCTTAGCATAAATTTCTATAAATGGAATTGTTGGATCTCAGGTTATATGTTTTTAACCTGAGATAATGGTTGTACGTATTGATGGCTTTGCTGAATTGTTTCCATAGAGGCTATACCATGTTACACAGCAGTCTGTAGTATTTGAGGATATTTTATTATTGTCACCAATACAGTGGCGTATCATGTTTTTTTTGCCATGTAGGGTTAATTCATATGTCTGTTTTGTAGCTAACCTTTTTATTCATCACTTACCACTTGCTAAGCACATTGTAATTTTTGGTTTGTGGATTTTGTATTTTATGTCCTACTGTGAAATCCTTTTCTCTCTAAGCCATCATAAAGTTTGGTGCCCAGAACTGAAGACAGTCCTCAGGACTTCTTACCCTGATGAAATGATAAGATGTACCATCTAATATCGGACAAGCATGTACTTGGTGTGCTTTTAAAATGCCTGTGTTCCTGTGTGGCCTAAGCATGTCTTTTTGATAAAAAGAACATGGTTAGAAAGCTTTTTGGCTTAGCATGTGGCATTTCTGTGGACATACATATCCTGGCAGTCTTTGTCTTCTAAGTTAGAATGTGTCAAAGGACAGGTAGCTGAAAAGTTTTGGTTCTGTAATTGGAAATGGTAATAGTGTTTGCCATGAACCTTATGATGGGATCAGAACTAGTATAGAGGACCTGAATTAAGTTAAATTGCTCTTATTTGATTCTTCGTGTAGGCATGTTTGAACCACTAAATATCTAACCCCTAACACAGTTTCCAGCTCATATTGATTGCCTAATGGATAGTTGTTGAATTAATGATCTGTTCAGTCCCAGAACTGAGACCCCAAGGCTCAACCTTGCCATTCATTGGGTTGAAGAGTTTAGTTGGCTTAGCAGTGGGCTCCAGCATCTTCCCAGGATGAAGACATCTTCCTTCCTAGCAGGCTTAGAACTAGTTGGTGTTTCTGTTTTTCTCTGGAGCACAGGTTCTTGAAGGAACTTTGGGCCACATAAATCTGTGAGTTTGGCCGGAAGCCAACTGTGGAAGTTGAGCAGATGAGTAGATTTCCCTTTGAATTAATGGCCACCCTACCTCACACTTTGAAGAGGTCCTGGTTAAAATTACTTGAGGCACAGTGAGATCCTTCCCTATACGAGCAGTTATGCAGAAATTATGGTTTGATTGTGTTCCGATGTGAGCAGTTTTTTGGTATTTTTAGAGATCAAAGTCTATTGAAAAGGCCATAAAACACCAGATACCTCTGGCTTTGATGGTTTTTCTACTGATGCCCGAAAATGTTTGGACAGTTATTTGATTTTTGCTGTTTGCATGCTGTTTCCTTTACTTCTAAGAATTAAGGTGAGGATTAGTGTTGGCTCAGTAACTTGTTTGGTTAGTCAGATGTTCCGTTTGGGAGATTTCAGGGGGTGGGGGTGGGACCAGGGGAGAAGTCACCTCTGAGGGAGGAGAGAACAGAACTGGGTCATGTGTCAGACAGTAAATATTTTAGGTTTTGCAGCCATGGTCTCTTTCACATATTCCTTTGTTTTTCACATCTCTTTAAAGATGTAGAAACAAGGCTCGGGTTACATAGCTCAGTGGTAGAATTCTTGCTGATATGTCATATGTCAGAGGCCCTTGTACCACAAAAAAGCAAACTCAAAATGATGCCTAGCTTGGTAGCCTTATAAAAGAGGCCATAGTGAGGGTTGCCCCCCCCACACGCAGGTTGTGGTTTGCCAACCCTTGAACTCAGTGAAGAAATTAGCCTGTTGCTACATGTGTTTACTTTACTGTTTCAGGGACATGAACCCAGAATAACCCTGGGAATTCTCAATTGATTGTGATCCAAAGAAGAGCGGTCCAAACTTTGGTTTGTGGGGTCATACTAGCCTTTGTGACAGTCACCTTGGATTTGTGGAAATTAGGGTGACCTTGGCCAGTAGAACAGACGGTTCTTGCTGCATTTCCTGTGGGAATGCTGGCCAAGGGGAGCAGGAGGCCAGGAATGGGTGAGTGGAGTGAAGGTATGGCCCTAGGAGGTCGCAGGGGCTTGATAGGCAAACAGAATATGGTCACAGACTCCTATTGCTTTGGAATGTAGCTAGAATCTGGCATGTACTGTGAGTTTGGCCAGTTCATAAGAGTGAAAGAGCACATCTGTACCTTGAATTCTGAGAACCCTGCATTCCAGTGTACCCGAGTCCAGATCTGCCTTGTGGTTTTTCTCTCATCATAAGAAACTCTGCAGAGCAGGGCAGGTGTGAGGGAAATATTGATTCATTTCAAGGTAATTTGGGAGATAGAAAGGCATAGTAGTCAATAAGCATGGGCTCAGAGATAGGCACTTGTCCCAAGTCCTGTTCCGCCCACTTAATTGCTGTGTGACCCTAGAAAATTTACTTTATCTTCAAAACCTCAGTATTCTTACCTCTAAATGGCAGTGGTAAGAGTAACTCCACCAAAGTTGTGCGAATTGAGGACTGTGTAAAAGGCTTACTAGTCTGTCGTATATTAAGCATTCAGTAAATGTTTGCAGTAATAACGATAATGTGATAGTGGAAGAAGTGGGGAGGAACTAGTGTTTGTGACTCAGTGCCACAGACATATCATGTCCTGGTTGAGCATTTGACCACTAGCTGAGTTGGGAGCATGTTGAGAGCAGTGCAGAACTGTATCTGTGTCTGCACCTCTTCGTTTCCTGATTTGGAAAGTGAAGATAATACAAGTTGACATGTTGGAGTTAACCAAATGAGGTAACATGTTTTTTATAAAGTATTGGACAAAATTTAAGGTAAAGTCGATATCTATTCAGTTTCTTGAATTTGTACATGCACTGGGACAGAACCAGGAGGTGAATGATGTGAGCCAGAATATTTTGCTAGGATCTGGGGATGTAGCTTAGTGGTTGAGTGTTTGCCTAGCATGTGCAAGGTTCTAGATTTGATTCCCCAGCACCTTGGGGGAAAACCCAGAGACTGAACAGGATGCACCAAATTTACAGTTTGTGTAGATTGTGATTTGGAATGAGTACTATAAAATTGGAATGTCAATTCTATCAGAATGCCTTCTTAAGTAGCTAATATGGGAAGATAGGCCAAAGAGGCTTAATCTCTGTGGAGGAAATGTGATCATATCATGCAAAATTAAAAATGTATATTTCCTTTTCCCCTGAAATTCCATTTCTAACAATTTGTCCTGGAAATATATTTGCCATGTGCATTTTTATACTAAATTATATATGCATGTGCTTACTCGTTACATTGTTTATAATGACAAAAAAGTGGAACTACCAGTATGTAGCCTTAGGAGACTGATTACCTCAGTCCTGGTACATTCTTATAGCTAAACACTATGTGTCTGCAGAATGCAGGAACTCTGTGTGTGCTGATGGAACTCTTTTCCAAGACTGGTTAAGATAAAGCAACAAAATGAAAAGCAAAGTGAAGAACAACATGCGTTGTATGCCATCCTTGTTGCCAGGCTGGTGGCAGGAAGGGAGGAACAACTGTGAATTTCTTGTCAAAGCAGAGATTATTTGGGGAAGGATAATGTGGTGGCTTCTGTGGAGGAAAACGTCTGAGTATCTTGGGGATGGATAAGAGGGAGATTCGTGTTTTATAGATTTGCCTTTTTTTCCTTTGAAACATGTCTTACAGACACACATTTATTCAGAATGTCGGAATGGCCACAGTTCCTATCATTGGAGTTGAAAAGTATATGAAACATACTGTGTTTCCTCCCACACCTGTTTCTGGTCCCTTTGACCTTGATGGCTTGAGAAGCTGGCCTCACTGTAGGCTTACTCTGAAGCAGCCCTCGCCTCCCACACACAAAGCACGTTGATATTGCTCTTGATTTGTGTGACTGACAGTGTTTCTGTTTCCACCCCCAGCTCTGGCAGCATGTAAACAACCTTTTGCCAAGAACCCAGGTCACCACTGAGCAGGGGGCCTTGAGGGAGAAGAGTATCAGGAGGACACCAATGCCAGGCGCGTCCGGTATTACACTCACTGCAAGCAGCATGCCGCACTTCATGCCAGCCCCTGTGTCCTGGCAAAGGCTGGGGCTCTCCAGGTAGGAGGGTCCTGGGGCAGCAGCACCAGGAGCCTCTCAGGAAAGAATGGGGCCAGATACGAACTCTCTACAGTGAACATAGTTTTCAGCTTATGCAAGAATTTTAAGAAAACAATTATTTAATTTGCATATAATCACTTCAGAAGCCTTCTGTGTGATTGCCGGCAGTCAACCCCCCTACAGGAGTTATCAGGAATTTTCTGGCACCCAGGTGAACTCTTCTTGGTACTTTTGGCAATACAGATCTGCTGGGCAGACTTATCTGCTGAATGCTCCGAGGCAGGAAAAAGAGTAAAACCTCTGGAAAGAGCGTCAGGAAAGCTGAACAGAGACCCCCTGTCTCGCCTCCCACTTGCACAGAAACTCAGCCTGGGCTTGGATGCTGTTACCTGAAGACTCCTGCAGTGTTCACCACAAAGTCCATCTGTTCTGGGGAGATAGGTGTTTTGGGGCTGCCTCTTGTGGCCCTTTTCTCTTGTCATTCTACCCCCATGCCTTCTATGCAGGCAGTTGAATGACGTGAACTTTAGGATGGAGTTTGGTACCCGTGAAAGACTGACTTCCTTTCCTAGGCTGGTGCTGTTGGAAAGGGCCACCTGAAGGCTGTGTTTGTGTGTGGGAAGAAAGGCACTGCCTGGCTGGGATCCTCCACCATGTTCCTGTTGCTGCCTTTTGATAGCCTGATTGTCAACCTTCTGGGCATCTCCCTGACCGTCCTCTTCACTCTCCTGCTTGTTTTCATCATAGTCCCTGCCATTTTTGGAGTGTCCTTTGGTATCCGAAAGCTCTACATGAAAACATTGTTAAAAATCTTTGCGGTGAGTTGTGCTGCTATGGTAGGTTGCTTCACAGAGAGCAGTGTTCGTAGCAGAGAGTTATTCTTACCCGGCTGGTGGTTATGTCACTATTGGTTGTAGAGAAAGCTGGAAGAATGGGAAGTGGCATCTAGTAAAAAGAATAACTAAACTTGTACGTTTGAAAGCCTGCAGCAGTCTTTCTCATTGGGCTAAATCTACCTGTTTATTTGATTCATGCTGAACAAGGGGACCTATTCCATGACACCATGGCTTACCTGCTTATTTCACAGAGAGAATGGGCTTAGAAGTAGTCCTGTCAGACTCTGCCTCTTATATAACAGGTAGTGTGGCACACTGCTGCCACCAGTGTGTATTCTTACTCACGAGCCTTTTGTCTCCTTCATACATTTTTCTAAAGTAGGTTTGTTGCATTTCAGACAAAATGAACTAACAGAAAAGGACATGCTGGTCATTTTCTGAAAGAGAGAGGATAATTTTTGAATATATTTTAGAATTTGCATAATTGTGTCATTAAATAGAACTGAGTGCATTATAAAGAAAACATGGGAATTGCTTCCCCGAAGTTGGTCTGTGCCACAAGATTTAATATCTAGGCAGAGATTTGGTAGTTTAGTTGAAATGTCTATTTTCAGTAGTCATCAAATCTTCAAGAACTCTTGGTTTTTTGAGACAGGATCTTACTATATAGTTCGAACTGGCCTTAAACTCACTATGTAGCCCAGGGTAGCCTCAAACTCCCCTGCCTCAGCCTCCCAGGTGCTGGGGTTGCAGGTATGCACCACCATGCCTGGCAGGAATTCTTTTCCACATTTGAAACCATGTGTAATTTTGAGAAATGCACCTATAATGGTAAAAATAATAGCTTTACTTCATATGGTATCGTACAGGTTTTTTTTGTTTCGTTTTTTTGACAGTGCTGAGGATCTGATAACCTGTGACCTTCTAATGCTTGGCAGGTGCTCTACCACTGAGCTATATTCCTGTCTTAGAGTTTTTTAGAACAATTGTTTTCACTTTCCTTTGGTTCCTTAGAATTTTGTTGGTAGACAGGATAAATAATCTACATTTTATCAACGAAGAAAAAGATTTAGATTAAGTGAAGTATAAGAAAGTTATATTACCATAGGAAATATTTACATCTGTGGCATAAATTGTGGGCTTTATCTTTTTTGCCACTTAATATGTTGATAAGAATAATTCTTTCCCACATTTAAAAAAATTGAGGTGAAATTGACAGGACATAAAATTCACAGTGTGTTATCAACCAGCAACTGTCCCATACAATTATTGTCACTTCGGAAGGAAGCCCTTACTCAGAAGTTAGTGCCTAGTTGCATTTTGTCTGTGGATTTACCTATTCTGGATATTTCATATCAATAGAATTATATAAAATGTGCCCCTTTTTTGTGGCTTTCAGCTAACATAACTTTCTGAGGGTAGGGGGTTGGTACTGAGGCTTGAGCCCATGGCTTTTGCTCTGGGTATGAGGTACATAACAAACTGTTTTAAGACAAGGTCTTTCTAAGTCACCAAGTTGCCCATGCTAAGCTCAAATTTACAGTCTTCCTTCCTCAACCTCCCAGAGTATTGGGATTACAGGCATGTGCCACCAGACTTGCCTTAACATTGTTAAGGTTTGTATCAATTATTTCATGCACGTTCACATGTGTGGGTGTTTGAATAATAGCCCATGGTGTGTGACCATAATTTGCTTACCTGTTCATCCACTGATTGACACTGGTAGGTTGTTTCTGCCTTCTGGCTGTGGTGAATAGTGCTGTTAGGGAGGTATGTATTTGATTACCAGTTTTTAAGAGAACAATTTTTGAGCACTACTCATGATGGTCCCTGGATTTATGGGTATCTAGTCTTCTCTCCTCAGTAAGCTGGAGATCAGCAGCATGGGTATTACCTAGGAGCTGGATGAAAATAAAGATCTCAGACCCCCTGTAGACCTACTGAATTAGAATTTGCATTTTAGCAACATAGAAGTGATTCATTCACACATTAAAATCTGAATAGTAGTTGGTCTTTGGATTGGCTATTTTACTAATACAGTTTTTATTTTAATTAATCAGGAAAGGGGATTTCTGTATTTCAGATTCAAGAAAGTCTTTAACAACACAGGATCCCTATGGACAATATAATTTAATATCTATGCCCACCTATACTAAGACAAAATTAGTGGAATAACTGTCAAATTTTTAGGAGACAAGAATGATATCTAGCTTGCATTCAGTTTTATACAAGGGATTAATTCATGAACCTATAGAATTTTTTTTTTTTTTTTTTTGAGATGGTCTCAATGTAAATTCAGGGTGGCCTTGAATTCACTGTGTAGTCCAGGCTGGCCTCAAACTCGCTGCACTCCTGCTTCAGCCTCCCAGGTGCTGGGATTATAGGTGCGTGTCACCACATGCAGCAGAAATAGTCATTTTTAAAACGGAATACATAACAATTTTGAGCCTAAGGTTCTCTCCTGTAGTACTTAATATTTAACTTGGATGACACTGGGTAGGGCAGAAGGTTTAGAATCTATTTTATATTTCTTACCCTATTTTGAAAATGTTTCTCCAAAATTAATATTTTAAAGCTAATAGCCAAGTAAATCTTTCTTACGACTGTATTTTTAAAATGTATGTATTTGTAACTTTTACTGTAGATTATAATGATACAATGGAAAATATAAATATTTACTGTTGGGCCAGCCTGTGGGGCATGTAATCTTAATTCATCAGTGTACTTGCAGGCCAGATCCTGAAAATAACTGGTTTAGGTCACAGTGATTTAGAAGTGTTAGTGAAGTTGCCAGTGTATTTGTAACCTCAAGATTAAGAATTTCAGTAAATAGGGGCTAGGAATGTGGGTCAACAATGCAAAAGAAGTTTTCAAAAAATAGATTTATACCCCTTACTTCCTAGGCACCAAAAGGCTTCATTCAGCACAGCCCATTTGTAGATCATGCCATGCTGTGAGCTGCACAGTTGCAAGATGGCTATATGCTGCAGTAAGGGGTGGGCTGCTGAAAGGACTAATCCATACCAGCAAGGGCATAGGTTGGTTCTGGAAGAGGGTCAGATTTAATTTCACCTGTTTCTTCTCTGAGTTGATCTTAATGGACAGAAAGAAGAGTACTACATTTATCAGTGGTAATACAAGTTGGTGCCAGGCCTAAGAAAAGTGTCCTCATATCTGTCAATATATCTAAAATGCACCTGGACTTGTAGGTATTTGTGTAAACTTTTTTAAATTGAGGAATGTCTTAGTTAATATGGGCTGCAGTAACAACTATCATAGACTGAGTGATCTGCAAAAAACAAATTTGTTTCTCAAAGTTCTGGAGGCTGACGTCTGAGGTTAAGGTGCTGGGTAGGAGATGGGATTCCGTGTCTGGTGAGGCCAGCTTCCTGGTTCACAGACGTTAGTCTTCTCTCTCTCCTCCAGTGGTACAAGGGATGAGAGCTTCCTTTTGTGAGGGCCCTTACCCATTTCTGAGGGCTCCACCTCTGTGATTTTATTACCACCCAAAGACCTAACATCCTAGTATTATCACACTGGGGATTCAACATAAGAATTTGGGGGGAAGTAAACTTTAGTCCATAGGAAGGAGAGACCTTTATTTTACCTTTTTTAGTTTCTTCCACTTTTTACTAAATTGGAATGATATAAATAATTTTGGACCTAGAAGAAAGCTCAGAGATTTTTTTTTTTTTTTTTTTTTTTTTTT